TGAGGTGCATTGCTCACATCCTTAACTTGGTGGTACAGGATGGGTTGAAAGAATCTGATAGTGCTGTTAAAAAAGTGAGGGATTCGGTTAGGTATGTGAGAAGCTCACCTACTAGGCTTCAAAGGTTTAGGGAGCTAGTTGATGTAATGGGGGTGGAAGCCAAGAAGTCTTTGTGTCTTGATGTTCCTACAATGTGGAACTCCACCTATATGATGCTCAGTGCTGCTTTGTTGTATGAGAAAGTCTTTGAAGAGTATGCAAGCTCAGACAGTGGATTTAAATCTGATTTGGGTGAGAATAATATACCTAACTTCATGGATTGGGAAACCATTTCTGGTTTGGTACAGATTCTAAAATCTTTTTATGAAATGACTGTTAGAATTTCTGGTTCACTGTATGTGACTTCTAATACTTTTTTCTCTGTGATTTCTGATCTGTCTTGCTTGTTAAGTAATATGGTGGAAGCTGATGGCAGTGTTAATGTTAATGTGACACCTCGAAATCCAAATTCAATTAAGGGATTAATTAAGTAATTAATCCTATTTCAATTTGTAATTTAATTTCTTAAATTCCTGAAATTTAATAGTTGGGGACTAGTAATTGACTAGTCAACCCCAAAGTCAAAGTTGTACCTTGAGCTTTGTAAGGAGTTCCCTTGTTCCTTACACTTCCTTATGTTAGTAAGGGTATTCTTGACCTTTCACTTGGTGTTAGTATTGTAACCTAACCTAGTAGACCACCTTCATTCTTTCCTTACACTTTCTAAAAATCTAGCTCCACCTTCTCTCTAAAAAGTTGGGTAGCTTTTCTTCCAAGCCAAGTTGGAGCCTTGCCAAAACTTCAAGAGTTGCTTCCAAGATTCAACCTTTCATATATTTGGGCATCTAGGAGGGTAAGATCTAAGTTCATCTTGTGTTTTTGGTTTTATCTTAGGTGTCTTTTCTTAAAGATAGGATCTTTATGATCTTTTGGTATGTTCTTGAAGTGGGTTTGGAAGGTGAGCCTTGAGAGGAGTTTGTTGAGGTGTAAAGTGAAGTCTTTAGTCTACAAGAGGTAACCCATGCTCTACAAAATCTATTTTGCTTACCTATGTGAATATTTCTTAGATTCTACATGTGTTTTGCTATGAAATGTGAGTGTTTATGCATTGTCTTGTGAAAATGCATATCTAGAGCTTGTGTTTAGGGTTCATTTGTGCCATTGCTTGGCATTTCCTTTGATTCAAGTCATTTTGTTGTATTTGGTGAGATTTGGCATGTTTTGGACTTGAATTTGGGCTTGGAGTTGAAAATCCCCGAAGGGATTTGTTTGTGGTACAGGGGTGTACCCGCGGGCGGAACGGCGGGTAGGGGTCCAACCCGTCGCCCACCCGCGGGGTACACATTTTGGGTAGCCAGTACCCGTGGGCGGAACCGCGGGTAGAGGCCTACCCGCGGGCCTACCCGCGGGTACGTGTGGTGATGTTGTTGGGGATTTGTTCCCCGTGATTCTTTTGACTTGGTATTTGGTTTTTTGACTTCCCGGTGTTCTTTTGTGGAACTATTTGAGTGTCTTCTTGATGTTTCGTATGTCTAGAACTATATGGTAGGATTCCATGTAGGTTTTGGTGTCTTGGATCGTGCTAAGTGTTCAACATTGTGTTTCGTAGAACCGTGATGAGTTTTGTGTGTTCTTCGGAACTACGTTTGGTTTATCCGTTTGATAAGCATGCTAGTTCGGTGTTTAAATGCTAGCGTGTGAGTTGTTTGTACCTTCCTATTGGTTGATGATAACTTGTGTTATTCATCGTTGTTGTTGTTGTTGGACTGTGATCCATTCCTTGATTGAGTATGGTTTCATATCTTCGTTGTGATCCGTTGATTGATTCCTGTTGAGGTGTGATGTGTGCGTGGCTTTACCTGGATTGCACGATTAGTGGTATGGGACACTAGTCACCAAGGTATTGCAGCGGTCCTTGTGGTGGTCGTGACGTGATTATGGAGTTGTGACCTTTGTGTAAGGTTCACGTGATTCTTGGGTGCCATGTGTTGCCGTGTGTGTGTACGGTACCCTCGTGTACTATGAAATTGGTGGTTTTGTTGGTGGTTTGTTGGTGGGGGACGACGGTCCCAGGAGGGAAAAGGTTGGACTAAGAAGTACAGGGGTCCTGGAGGTAATGGTTGGAAGAAGATATAAGGTTGGGGGTAGCCATAAGGTTGGAACCGAGCATAAGGAAGGCATATCAACTCGTGATGGGTGATGTCACGAGGGCTTGTGTAGCCGTTGTTGTGAATTCTCTTCTTGTGACGTGTGTAGTCACATGGGCAAGTGTTGCCTTGACATGTGTTGCCGTGGGTGAGTCTTATTCCTTTGCGTTATGCATGTCGGGTTTTGGATCTATTGTGTGATGATAGATCATACCTTGAGAGTTCTTGTGAGTCGTGTTGTTCTTTGTGGTCTTGGGATGTGTTCCCGTGTTCTTGTTGAGAGTGTTGAGTCTTGTGTTGACTATTACTCTTGGTTTTGTACTTATATATATGTATTCCGTTTCGAAAATGGCTTTACAACTTATATCTTATCTATGTATGATATTTCACATGTATTGGTGGGTTACCAGCATTATTCGCTCACCGGGCGTCGTCCCATGTTTTATTGTGTTCTTTCAGGTGATGCCTAGACGAGTGCGCGGTCTAGTGCTTGCTAGTATAGCTTCTCCCTTTCGTTTTGTGGCCTGTGTGCCAGCTTAGATATAGAACTTTGAGACAATGGGTTTAGATGTAAACATTGCAGATGTTGCCGGTGCGTTCATCCTTTTGGTGAACGTGGCATAACACCCTGTGTTCCGGATTATGTCTATCTATCTATCTTTCAGTCTTCCGCTGTGTTTGTTGTTTAGTTCAGTTATCTGCATGTTTAAGGCTTTTAAATAGCATGTTTTTAAGGGGGTGTTACAGTTAAACTGATGGGTACAAATATGAGGGCAAAGTTTGATAAGTATTGGGGTGAGCCTGAAAAAATGAACTTTCTCATATTCTATGCAAATATCTTAGACCCCAAGGACAAAATAGAATATATGCCCATTCAGTTTACCCAGTTATATGGTGAGGGCAAAGGTAAAACAATGTTTGATAAGGTTGTTGTTGGCCTTAAGGAGTTATTTCAAGATTATGTGTCCTGTTTTCCTGTCCAGTCTGTTCCTGAAAATTCTGCCAAATCAGCCCCTTCAGTTATAATTTCTGATTGTGTTTCTGTTGGGAAACCTCAAGCATCATTGAAATCCCAGATTAAGAAACAAAAATTGGGTACTGGTGATTTGTCAATGAAAAAAATTGAGTTGGAGGTGTATTTGTCTGAGGTCATTGTGGATGATGAGGATTCTTTTGACCTTCTAAGATGGTGGAAGCTGAATTCTGATAGGTTCCCTGTGTTATCTAAAATGGCAAAGGATGTACTTGCTGTTCCAATCTCTACTGTTGCATCTGAATCAGCATTCAGTACCAGTGGGAGAGTACTAGATGCCTTTAGGAGTTCCCTAACTCCTAAGATTGTTGAGGCACTTGTGTGCGCACAGGATTGGTTGAGGTTAGCCAATCAACCAATCTCTGTTGAAGAAAATATTGAAGATGTTGAAAGGATTGAGAAAGGTAAATCTCTAAAATTTACATTTTAACTTAGAATTTATAACTATTTATTATAAATTAATACTTCTTTTAATTATACTTGTGTTTTTTTTTTCTTTTTGCAGAGTTGTGCAGCACATCCACACTGGAGTTGGATTATTGCCTACAATACCTGTATGGTTATATACTTATAACTTTTATTCCATAAAGCATTTCTGTATTTATTTTGATATTTGATCAATGATTATTATATGATATCTCTGTATGACTGCATTAGTGTTACAATGTATGTGTATCAAATATCAATGTCCCTCAGGCCCTCATTCCTTGGCTGGGCAATGGAATTGGAAAGTGTTCAATGGCTTGGTGACATTTTAAATGTTGCTGCCATCGAGCATTTGGCACCTGAATGATGAATGGTGTCTGGTAAAGTGGTAATGTATATGGCTTCACTTCTCTCAAGTCTCCATATCTCTGTTATTGACTTATTGTTAATTACTTAATTGTCTTTGGCCCCTTGTGCAATGATGATGCTTCCACCATGTTTTCTGAATATATAGAATTGGGTTTGGCATGTTGCCTATGTAGTGTGGTGTTTTGTGCCATACTCATATTGAGCAATTTCCCCCAATCCTTGGTTGATCTGGAAAAATAGCAATCTGAGCACTCTAAAATTTACATTCATAACTCATTCATGTTCAATTGTTTAAACTTTAAAGTTTATATATTTTAAAGCTTATAAAAGTTTTGTGTTTTTACTTATTAGGAAGAGAAATAGCCAAATAGGTTATTATCATATTATTAGGGTCTACTGGTATTCTTTTTGCTGAATGCTGAGTTGCTGACTGCTGACTGCTGACTGCTGATGCTTGGTGGCTTGGACATTGGACTTTCAAGTTTTGGAGGCTTCAATTAAAGCTTAATTGCTTACTGCTTAATGTCTGAACTTCAGTGTTTTTGTATTTTTGTATGCTTAATTCTTAGTTAGTTAGTCTGTAATCAGTAAATGCTTATGAGTTATGAATGTAAATTTTAATTTGTAAGTTGAAACTGTGAACTTGTGAAGTGTCTTACACTTTTACTACTTAAGTAGTTCTGTATTTTAGACTACTTAAGTGGTTAACTATTAAAAATCAATTCTTTTTATTAAATAAATTTATTATTTTTGCACTTACAGTTTTATCATCAATAACCGATATATCTGACGGTTGAGTCGGATATTCGAACGATAATTTGGAACAATATCCGACAAAATTAGGTGGGAAAATAAACAATTAGGTGCTAGATTAGGGTATGCGCCGATCATATTAACCCTCCGCGAACCCGAACCGTCCGAACCCATCTGTTGCACAAGCCTACTAATTTGACCATTATTCCAATATTTTAAAATCAGTAGTAAACACCAACTGCAACCCAACGCCTATTTTCTCTTTCTCCCTCTCTCTCTCTCTCCCTCTCTCTCTCTGCTCTCTCTCTCAACGATGTTTCGCAGCCTCCTTCATCCTCCGCCACCCGTCTGAAAACGCTCATCGGCAAACGCTCTGATTCCGATCCGATCACTCGTTTACCGTCCCGCTTGCTCGGAGAAAAAGAAAATGTATAAGAACCAGCTGCAAGAGCTGGCGCAGAGGAGCTGCTTCAACTTGCCCTCCTACATCTGCATACGGGAAGGTCCAGACCACGCGCCGCGCTTCAAGGCCGTCGTTAACTTCAACGGCGAGGCCTTCGAGAGCCCCAACTACTGCTCCACTCTTCGCCAAGCCGAGCACGCCGCCGCCGAGGTCGCCCTCGACTCCCTCTCCCACCGCGGCTCCCACTCCCTCGCCGCCCGGATCATCGTAAGCCCCTCTTTTACTATCTTCCAGCTCTCCAAAATGCTTCCCAATCCAAATGTTACAGTAATTTATAACTTCATTTTTATTTTTATTTATTTTTTAAACATTAATATCAATGCGTAGAAACGGCTTATCGTTCTAGATATCTGGAAACCTGTCTGGAAGCCGCAAGTTTAAATTTAGTTAATGTGTGCAAAACAAAAATAAATAAATAAACAAAAAGCTCCTTTCCTTCTTGTTGACTTATTGATTTTCCGGCGATATTGACGGTGCTATCGTGCACCGGCGGGGAGTTATTCACCGATTTTAAGCTGCCGTTGGGTTTTGCATTTTCATTCTTTCCATTCTCTGCACCAGAATTGATGATCAGTTCTGAGGTTTGGTGGTGGAACTTTAATGGAGGCTGGAAATTACCAAAATAGCCTCGTGCTAGCTTTCCTCTACTAACTGTAATGCCATGGAATTTTCAGAAAAGTTTGGTGTAAATTGGGATACAGTATAACTGTCGAAGTTTACTGACAATGACCATATATATATATATATATATATATATATATATATATATATATATCATATGCTTAACATTTGTTTTTAGTTTTCTTGTAATATTACACTATGTTGCAGCAAGTTCATGTTATGAAGGGTATTTCTGTAATATAAGCATATAAATTTGGGGTATTTTCTTTGAAAGAATTGAATATATTTATGAAAATTGAGGAATAATTTCATGGCACGCGGATTCAGTCTCTGGAGGACCACAATAAATAAACCCAGAAATGTTGATAAGATAATGAGACCAGTCAAAGTATGAGTAATTTGGCAGTATGAGCATTGGGTTTAAATGAATAATGAATACATGTTATGACTTCTGTGCTGTGTTTATACATGATAATGACAGCAATTAGGATTACTAACTCCCTTAGTCGTTTATTGGCATAAATAATATGTTGAAATGGGTATGAATGCATTGAAAAGTGAGGGTTAGTCCTACCTAACTGAATAAAATAGGGAGTTAAAGAAATGTATTTGATTCAAGGAGGGCAGAGGGCATCAGTTTGGCACATGCTGCTGAACTGTTGAAGGCTGTTTTTTCGCCCCGCATTAAATTGGGGGTAGTGAATTTTATTCAGCAAATGACAAAGACGGATCAAGGACATTATTGACTTTGCTAGGATGCACAGTTCTTGGTTCGAACAAGCAATTTAAGATTGAGGGGGTGAGCATGGCCTGTGTAGGCATTCAGCATTAAATAAGGTGTTTTGTGGGTTTTTATGACAAGGGAAAGGCTCAGTATGGTGCTTCTGGGTAGTGTATCTAGATTGAATTTCGCATTTATGGTCTTGTCTCCCTCGGTTTTATTTCGTTTCTCCTATTGAGATGTAACTGCATGTGCCTGTCGTCTTCCTTGCTTACTGCTTAGTGCAGACGGAATAGTACAGCAGTATATGGAACCAAAAGAACCGGTTCTAGCTTTTGTATTTTAATAAAATGATGCGTTATGGCAAAGTCGAGCTAATTGGTCAATGATCCGTTCATGGAACCTCTGTAGTCTGTAGATGCATAGATACAGTGTTGTGTGCTGGGTCTGATATTTCTAATTGTTAACTCGACTTGATATATGAACAAAGTACTGATGCTATTCGTTGTTATAAACACTTGATACATGTTTATGGAAGGTGACTGGTTTCAGAAAGGATCATTGGAAGTTATTTTTATTTGGTTGATTGTGTGAACAACTTGTAGGACGAAACAGGAGTGTATAAAAACCTTTTACAAGAGATTGCACAGAGAGTTGGATCTCCTTTGCCTCAGTATACGACATTTAGGTCTGGCCTCGGGCACCAACCTGTCTTCACAGGAACAGTGGAACTTGCTGGAATCACGTTTACTGGGGAACCAGCCAAGAACAAAAAGCAAGCCGAGAAAAATGCTGCATTGGCTGCTTGGTCGTCTTTGAAACAATGTGAGTTCCCTACTCTTGAAAATTTTTAAACAATGCGAATGCTCTGCCATAGTTTTTGCAAATTATATTTTCATTTATATGCCACTGAGAAATGTAGAAACATCCTCACACGTTTTGACTACTACACATCCTGAACTTATTATAGCAGGTCATGCTTCAATCACATGTATTATGATACAAGATCTTTTAATTCATCTGTTCTTATTATAACAGTTCGTCGTGTATCTGTATCACTTACCTAATTTACAGATAGAATCCCACTCTATGTGCTTCCCATTTAATTCTAGAGTAGGATGGAAAAGCATTATAAATGCAGGAATGGAAAAGCAGCCCAAATTTGAAGCCAATCTTCAGTGCAATGCATTAATGAGTTATCCATGCTTCTAAATTTTTACATTTCATTGATGTTACTCACTCCTAGTAGATCAAATGCTCTTCCCAATTTGACCTTTTTGACCTTCAATGAACTGTTACTGCTACTTTTAGTAAAATCGGTTTTTGTTCTTTTTTGGAATTTATCTCTTTGCTGCCAACATGATGTCCTTGTCAGAATTGATAAGCACTGTGTTTTTTTAAAAGAATAATTTTTAATCTCACAGTGGCAAAGCAAGATGCCAGTTTATCGTCTGAGCCAGAGAACACTGACGAGCAGGAGCAGATCAGGATAGCAAGGGCATTATTGAACTACTGTTTGAAGGAAAAGATAGACAAGGCTAAATCCAGCAATGGTTCAATTCCATTCCAGAAGTTTACCATCCCCACCCCTCGACCTTTAAGCCCACAGCGTCCACTAGCATCCACGTCTAAAATCCTTCCTTTAATTTGCCCGAAAACCAGTCCTAGGTACAGAACATCAACAACAACAGCCCATGATAGGGCCGCTCCACAGCCTCTGCCACAATCCCCAGCTCCTGCATCAGAGGGCCGCTCCATTTGCTCCCAGAAATATCCTACAGCAGGTGCAGCTCCTTATGTTCCCGTTAGGCCATATAGGATGCCTTACTGTGGTATTGCTCCACCTGTTACAATAAGAACTGCTGTTCCAGTTTTCTCAGCACCTACACTTCCTCCACGCTCTGTGCACTCACCTCAAGTGATGCGCACTGCACAGCCTGTTCGAGTTGCCCCACCCGTCTCTGTCAGGCAGGCAATCCCTGTGTTTGCTGCCCCACCTGCCCCAAAGGAAGCTGTTTCAAGTACTCCAAAAGCTTCACTCTCTGTAGCTCCCGAATCTGCAAACAAGTCCCAATGCACCGAGGTTGATGAATCAACAGCAGTGAAGTGCTTGGAGCAACTCCAATTATAATGGTTGCCGTAGTCTACCCATGTTAAAATTTTTGTGTTTTAGTCTTCTGGTCCTATGTTATAATATCTCAGTCCCCCTTTCCCCCCTCTGTCAATTCTGTGTCTTCCTGTAAACTTACATATAATGCAGGTTACTTTAGTATAACTTAGTATTGGATGACATGATATCAAACTTTTGCAATTCGACAGGTAGTTGGTCTTCCTGTAAACTAGCTAAGTTGGTGGTTGACTTAAACATTACAAGATTTCAAGTTCGACTCTTAACGGAGTGGGATGTTGGCATTCTTGATTTTAACCGATCAGCTATAGACAACTTAGGTTGGTTTACCTCTTTGTAGTCATTTGTTGGCTAGGATCACAAGGTGGGGTTTAACCACTACACACCCTTGGGTAGTGCTTGCGGGTTTTTCTCGTCACTCAGAGATCTAATAGCTTAGGTTCATAGGCAACCACAAAGTACAGAATTCGGTTCCTACTAAGGGAAAGTCCGATTTTTAAATTCCGCTAGTCAATCCAGAGAAGGGGATTTACCTAATGCATACCATCTGATAGTGACTGCAAATTTTTCTCGTCATACAAGGAGCTAATAGCTTAGGTTCGTCCAAATAAGATAATGACCCAAATTTGTTGACAGTCACAAAGAGTGCAGAATTCAGTTCCTATTATGAACACAAATATATAAACACTTTGGGAAACTTATAAATCGTTAAGACACGTTCAAAGTTTGAGGACAAGGGCGACATAGCTCATAAATTGTTACCAACTTTACCAAGTTTACATAGGCCAACTCTTGTCAACCCAGAGTGAGCAGTCTGCATCTGCACACCACAAGTCCACAACAACGAAAAATGTACCAAAATTTCTGGTCTTGAAATTGAAGAAAGAGTTAAAAATGTCCCCTATCAATCTCTGCACTGTTGGTCAGAAGCTGATGAGAATCATTTCAAGTAATCTCCTTTACAAATATGGGAGGGGGCATGGCTGCCTGTACCATTCCATGATTGAGACTTGAGCATACTTGTCTGGTTAATGATTAATGTCGATGTTCATTTATTGCCACCGGAACCTAGCTAACTACTGTCTTCTATGGGGTTTTAGCACAATAATAAGTTAAAACTCCATCTTTAATTTGCAGCATATATTCAAATCTTGATTTTCCGATACTCCTCCGGCCAGAATAACAATTGCCGTCAGCCATGACGCAAAGTACGTGCAATATATATGCTGTACTGATTTATTTAAAGGAAAAAGAAGCAATATATATATATATATATATATAGAATCGCACTCAGGTGCCTAGGCGCGAAATAGGAATGAATTCTGTTCGTCCACGTGTCCAGATCTAATGGATGAGAAACACTGATTTTTTAAAAAAAGGCGGTGGCATTTTCGTAAATAATTGAACATCGAAGTGCAAGTAAAACGTATTACAAGTGCATGTAAAATGTATTATAGGTGCAAGTAAAAATTTACACTGAGCATCAATACTTAGTTGCACCTATAGTTCTAAGTAGTTGCACCTATAGTTCTAAGTAGTTGCACATATAGTTATAAGTAGTTGCACCTAAGTGTATGAATGTTTGCGAGTGGTTTTCAGGGGTATTACTACCCGCTGAACTCAGATCAATGAATGTTAACAAGGCAAAATTACATGCACTTATAGGTGAAAGTAGGTGCACCTATAGTTATAAGTAGTTGCACCTATAGTTATAAATAGTTGCACATATAGTTATAAGCACACCCAGGTGCATGAATGTTTGCGGAAAATGAATGCTAACAAGGCAAAATTACATGCACTTATAGGTGAAAGTAGGTGCACCTATAGTTATAAGCACACCCAGGTGCATGAATGTTTGCGGAAAGTGAATGCTAACAAGGCAAAATTACATGTACTTATAGGTGAAAGTAGGTGCACTTGTAAGTGATTTTACTTGCACTTCGATGTTCAATTATTTACGAAAATGCCACAGCGTTTTTTTTTTAAAAGTTATTAGATCTGGACACGTGTCGCGCTCTAATTCGTTCGCATTTCCCTCCTGAGCACTTATTCGCACCTGAGTGCATCCATATATATATATATATATATATATATATATATATATATAGGGAAGGGATCAGGTGCATTTGAAACTTCCCGTGCAGTTGTGAGGGTGGATGCACGTTAATCATTAATCTGACGCACTTAAAGTACACAACATACGCACATTAACCACACAAACAAAACACAACCTCACTCATGTTAAGCACAAGCCTCACGCATGTTAAGTACAAACCTCACGCATGTTAAGTACAAACCTCACGCATGTTAAGCACAAAAACACACGCACCTTAAGTTTAAAATAACTCACGTTAAGTACACACTCACGCACATTAAGTACAAAACTCACGCACCTTAAGCACACGACTCACGCACATTAAACACAAAACTCACGCACATTAAGCATAAAACTCATGCACTTTAAAGTTTCAACAACAACTCACATTAAGTACACACTCATACACATTAAGCACAAAACTCACGCACATTACGCACAAGACTCACGCACATTAAGTACAAAACTCACGCACATTAAACATTACACACTCACGCACATTAAGCACAAATCTCACGCACATTAAGCACAAAACTCACGCACATTTAAGTACAAAACTTGCGCACATTAATCACCAGCACAACAGCACGGGAAATACTTATATATAGGTTCAGGTTTAGGTGCATTTAAGTGTTTCCCGTGCTGTTGTGCAGGTGATTAATGTACGCGAGTATTGTACTTAATGTCATGAGATTTGTGCTTAACGTGCGGGAGTGTGTAATATTTAACGTGCGTGAGTTTTGTACTTACGTGAGTCTTGTGCGTGAGTTTTGTGCTTAATGTGCGTGAGTGTGTACTTAATGTGAGTTGTTGTTGAAACTTTAAAGTGCATGAGTTTTATGCTTAATGTGCGGGAGTTTTGTGCTTAATGTGCATGAGTTTTGTACTTAATGTGCGTGAGTGTGTACTTAATGTGAGTTGTTTTTAAAACTTAAGGTGCGTGTGTTTTTTTTTGTGCTTAACATGTGTGAGGTTTGTGCTTAACATGCGTAAAAGACTTGTACTTAACATGCGTGAGATTGTGTTTTTTGTTTGTGTGCTTAATGTGCGTGTGTTGTGTACTTTAAGTGCGTCAGATTAATGCTTAACATGCGTCCACCCGCACAATCGCAGGGAAGCCTCAAATGCGCCTGATCCCTTCCCTATATATATATATATATATATATATATATATATATATATATATATATATATATATATATATATATATATATATATATATATATATATATATATATATATATATATGCCATTAGATTAGATAGATCCAATGAATGCCATTAGATTAGATAGATCCAATGAGTCAAGTGCAACCATGTTGTTAGGTGTGATCGTATGGTCAATTAAAGGCCATTAGATTAGATAGATCCAATGAATCACATTAATCAAGATTCTTCCAGTATTTTCGCGCACGTTCTCCTACCTAGCGAACTGCAAGGGTAAACTCGTCATAGGGCACCGGGATGTGTAATTGATGCATTATTAGCCTTACTCTGGTGTATTGGTCAGTGCGGCTGCACCAATTGTTATACAAATATACACCATCCATGCTATGAAATGCATAGCAAAAAACATACACAAATCAGGTACGCATCACCAAAAACGCGTAATTAGATATGAATAAATACACCATACAGTGTTCAGGAATACACTATTGGTGTGTTTCACTGTGGTGTGTTTTATTACACTATCGGTGCATGTTGTCAACACTGTTGGTGTATTTCTGGAACCCGGTCGCTATAAATGGCCACTGTAATTACCATAACACCCCCGAAGATGTGCAGAGGATAAACTTGACTTGTGATTCTAGCCGGCAAAAGATCACATGAGATAAACCAACTTTAAATTATTCATAGCTGGGTCAGTGGGGAATCGGAGTCGTCCAACTAGCTTGTAATCTTGTACGGAGTATTTATCAAGTCAGCAGCATGACTAACTTGACTACGATTATCCCGAATTCTACAATTTTTTGTTAGGGATATTTTTTTTTTGAATGCTACTAGCTCTATTACAATGTAGTATCTGTTCATATACTTTCTCAACCTACTGAAACACAAAGAGCCAATAACGCCTCCACTGAGGCTCGAAATCATAACCTTCCAAATGGAAGTCCAACCCGGATGATACAAAAATGATTATTTTCACACAAATTAAAATAACAAGCACAAAAACGAATGATGAAAGGGCTAAGTTAGCTTGCGTCATGTCATACCCGGGCACACTATCCTTAAAAAAAATTTTGCTACCTCCCAAAAGGTGCTAGGAGAATTGTAGCCTAGGTTTCCCAGGATAAAACAAGCTACGATTTAATGTTTGAGCACTCAAATGAATAAACCCGGTGAACTAGAACACGACTTTGAACATAGGAAGGAGGAAGATGAGCAGAGATTTTTTTTATTTTTATTTTTATTTTTTTTTTATTTTTTTTATTTGAAATTAAAGCAAAACCATGAGTGTTAGAGTTTTCAAAATCCACCTGCTACATCCAAAGGCTTATATAGGAGAAGGATAAATAGCATTTATCATTGCATTAAAACTGATACAGTCTGTGTAACCTCAATAACTGGCAACCATTAACTTGAGAATTAATTCTCAAATTCAAAATTAGAATTAAATTTTGAAATTAATTTTGTAGCATCAAAATTAATACCTAGAACGACACTCTGAACAGTACCCGAAGAGTGGTTCGAAACGTGAGTAGTTCGAAAGGTACCCGAAGGGTTACGTAACAAGGAGTCAAAATCTACCATTCATTCAAATCCAGTATGACCGAATAGTAATTCCGAATAGTTACTACTCAGACGATGGCTAAAAAGTTGGAAAATATTTTTGAAAAGTTGGAACAATAGTATTTCCGAATAGTTACTACTCGGACAATATTTTTGAAAAGTTGGAACAATAGTAATTCCAAATAGTTACTACTCGGATGGTGACTAAAAAGTAAGCTCACAAGGTCAGCCACTTTCAAGCTCATTCTGGGATTTGATTTGCACCTCATGCGTGCAATGGATAACCTTTATGCTATACAATTCAATATCTCTCTAAATGGGTCTTGTATATATAGTGGTGCAAATCCCCTTCTTTTTTTCAATGTGGGACAAAGGATACTTTGAAAATCAATTTGTCATTCACTCATTATCTGTTTTTAGCGTACAATATATCAATCTCTTCGTCTCACTACGAAGAACTCGAACCTACTTTGATTTGACCCAAATCGAAAATGGATCCCACATGTATTTGTACCACAAAATAGCCACTTACAATGCAATTTTTGCTATTATTTTTCCAAGAATCTCCCACATGAATGAAAATTTGATTTTCGGGGTTGTTCTAAAATGGAATGACTGTGTTCAACAGTCGATCCTTGCATAAGATAGGTAGATGTTACCCTTTGGACCTTCTCTTATGAAGATATATTTACTCTACTAGTTGTTCGGTAGAACGCGATGTCTTTGAACTTACTGTCTTTTGTGTAGATGATGATATATCTCACACAGGAACCTCCAACCATGTTCTGTTATCATGAGTGTGCCTGTTTTGGTCATGGGTTACCGTTCCTGGTTCTGCAAGAGTTTCTAAAGAATTGAGCCTAATCAATTCTCCTTTGAAGCAACCCCACTTCTCTCTCACATAGGTGATTCTTTTTCAAGTATCCCGCATACTCACCAATGTCAACCGACATTCGAATCACTAAAGCATCAGTGCGCTAACCTCGTGCTGGAGTCACTGTTCTAACGAGGAATGGTAGGGAGTCCGAGACTCCACAGTTACACGCTTTGTTCCAAAATTTAGTTGTCCCATTGAACCTAGGTGCCAACTACGTTGGGTATCCACTATAGAACCTTATTCCAAGGACTTTAGACCCAATCCTCATGTCAACTTCTCAATCAACTCTCTATTTAACCCTTTGGTTAACGGATCCGCTATGTTGTGTTTTGACTTCACATAGTCAACCGAGACAACACCAGTATTGAGAAGTTGTTTAATGATATTATGTCTACGACGTATATGTCTAGACTTACCATTATATATATTACTCCGTACTCTACCAATCGTGGCTTGACTATTGCAATGCACACATATTTGAGGTACAAGTCTTACCCAACTAGGAATATCCTCGAGAAAATGGCGTAGCCATTCAGCCTCTTCGCAACATTTGTCTAAGGTTATCAACACTGATTCCATCGTGGATCTGGCTATCACAGTTTGTTTAGAGAATTTCCACGCTACGAATGCACCGACTATCGTGAACACGTAGCCACTCGTGGACTTAGAGTCCTTAATATCCGATATCCAATTAGCGTCGCTATACCCTTCAAGTATAACATGATATCTTGTATAGTGTAGTCCAAGGTCACGTGTACCCCTTAGGTATTTGCCTTTCGGTGTATATCACTGGGGTTACTCGTATATCTACTGAATTTACTAATCTGAAAGGCAATGTCTGGCCTAGTACAACTCATTAGATACATTAAACTACCAATAATCCGAGCGTATTTTACGTGAGAAGTACACTCTCCATGATTTTTGGATAGTAAAACATTAAGTTAATTCCAGCATTGGTCCCCCGACTATGTTGATTTTCTAAAATTGGTCATCGACTTTTAATTTAGACAATTTAAACCCTCGACTATTAAAAAGTTTCCAATGTTGGTCCTTCCGTTCCCTTGATGTTAAGTTGACGTCAGAAGGAGGGCTAATATTGTCTTTTTACTTTCCAATCGTATAATACTTCAGATTATACGCAATTTCCCTTCAATTCCTCCTTTTATACATAAACCAAACCCCTTTTACGCTCAGGACACAGCATATAGCAATGTAACCCTAGAAGGTGGGCAATGTTTGAACCTACAAACATCTTGGACGAATGATAATCCTGGTAGAAGGTATTGGGAATGTTCATTCGAAAATGTGAGTGGTTTAATTATTGTTAAAATTTATTTTTTTGTTCCATTAGAAACAAAAGGTAATATAATTTCTGTGTATTCAATGATGTTAATGTGTGTTAGATATATTAAATATAATATATTTAATATAATATATATTAAATATAATATAATATATCTATAATATATATTAAATATAATATATCAATATATTATATTTATATATTGAGAGAGAAGAGAGAGGAATGAATAATGTTATTTGAAGGGATGATTAACAAATGAATTTATACTAAATGAAAGCTACTAATCAGGAAGCTAATGCTCCATGTACTAATGCTATAATTTAGGCCACTCTTCACATACAATGCATGACCCACACCCATTACTTTCATTATTTCCAACAAATTAACTAATTATTAATTACTTGCTTGGTTTAATAATTATAATAATAATATTATTATAACATTGCCTCCTTTAAACTAAGTTGGATATATTGGTCATTCCAATTTCCTTCTTCAATTTGAGAAATGTCTCTGTCTTCAAGTTGGATATACGGACTTGTATTTCGTTCTGTAAACCCACTTTACTCCAATTGGCTTCTTCCCAAGAGGTACATCTGTTAACTCCCAGGTGCCATTCTTCTCAATGGCACGTATCTCCTCATCCATCACCTTAAGCCAATGAGTTTCTGTAGCAGCCTCCTCAAAAGGTAAAGGATCACAATCTGCAAAAAGAGCAAATTGAATAATCTCTTCATCCGACAAGTCATTATCATGACCCAAAACATAATCTTGCAAGCGAGCTGGTAAGTGGCGCTCGCGCTGAGATCGTCGAACTGACGACTCTGGCTGTGAAGGAGACTGGACATTATCTGGAATCGGTTGCTCTTCAACAATATTTTCAACAGCAGGAATAACAACTGAACTTTCATCTTTAGCTAACCAATCCCAGGCACCATATTCATCAAAAGTGACATCACGACTTATAACAACCTTTTTAGTTTCAGGATTGTATAGTTTATAAGCCTTTGAAGCGTCACTATAACCAATGAATATGCACTTCTCACCTTTATCATCCAACTTCTTTCTCAATGGATTCGGCACGTGGGCATATGCCAAACATCCAAAAACCTTGAGATATTTGATAGAGGGTTTTCTCCCACTCCAAGCTTCTTCGGGCGTCTTATCACGGACACTCTTAGTTGGGCACCTATTCAACACATAGACAGCACAAGCAACAGCTTCTGCCCAAAAAGGCTTAGGCAGATCCTTAGATTTCAACATGCACCTCACCATATCCATGATTGACCTATTCTTCCTCTCAGCCACTCCGTTTTGTTGTGGAGTGTATCTAGCTGTCATTTGGTGCTGAATACCCTTTTCTTTCAGAAAATTATCACAAGCAATATATTCTGTACCTCTATCAGTTCTCAAGATTTTAACTTCATAACCACTTTGCTTTTCAACAAAAGCCTTAAATTGTTTGAAAACATCACATGCTTCAGACTTTTGCTTCAGAAAGTAAACCCATGTTTTCCTACTGAAATCATCAATGAAAGTAATAAAGTACTTACAACCTCCATATGAGGGAACCTCCAACGAACACAGGTCTGAGTGAACAATCTCCAACTGTTTTGTGGCTCTCCTTGACTTGCCCACGGGGAAGGGATCTCTATGCTTCTTCCCAATCACACAAATCTCACATATACGATTAGGGACATTCACAACAGGTAAATCAGAAACAAGTTCATTTCTTGCAAGATAGTTTAATCCAGAGAAATGAAAATGCCCAAACCGCATATGCCATAACCAATTATCATCGCAAACTTCAGAATTAAAGCAAGCAATGAGAGTATGCTTAATTTTCAAAGGAAATAGTCGATTTTGGGACATATTTACCTTTGCAATCAAAACTCCTTTATCATCTTCAATGGTACAACACCCCTGAGCAATATGTATCTTATATCCTTTTTCTGACAACTGTCCCATACTCAACAAATTTTGGTGTAGTTCAGGAACATAGAACACATCGGATATAAAATTTTGAGTACCATCCTTCAACTGAATAGAGATTTTACCTTTTCCCAATATTGGCACCTTTGACTTATTGCCAAATGTCACTTCAGACTGGACTGATTCATCCAGTTCAGAAAACAATTCTTTCTTCCCACACATATGGTTACTACACCCAGTATCCAAGAACCATATGTTCTTATCTGCAGAAAAACTATCGCTGGCTAAAAGTAAAGTTTCAGAACTCTCACCAGACTTTTCAGCAGTGTTTTCAGCAATGTTTGCTTGATTTCCACGATTGTTGTCCTCATTATACCAACAATCTGCAATCTTGTGCCCATACTTGCCACAATTGTAGCAATGAAATGGAAATTTACCTCCTTGTTTGGTATTACCTCCACCTCTTCCTTGGTTGGAGTTACCACGTCCTCCTCCTTGGTTGAAGTTACCACGACCTCTTCCACCAGAACATCCTCTTCCTCTTCCACGACCTCTACCAGATCCTCCACCTCTTTGATTAATGCCAGTCACATTAAGGGTGACTTGACTCTTCAAAGCTTCTTCTGCTAGTGGTTCCGATTTTGACGCAATCCTGTCAATATGACTTTCTACCATACCTTTCAGCTCTGCAATTGATAAGAGCTCGGTTTTGTGTGACTCTGTTATTGAAGCCACCACATGGTCATACTTCATCGGCATAGTTCGAAGAACTTTTTCAACCACTGCACCATCTTCAATCGTATCTCCATATAGCCTCATCTTATTCACCATATCAATAAGACGAGTGAAATACACATCTACTGTTTCTGTAGAGGTCATCTCACAATTATCGTACAACCTTCTCAACGACTGCAACTTAGACTTCTGTGCCCGATCGACTCCTTTGTGTGACACCTTTAAGATGTCCCAAGCTTGTTTTGCTGTTTGAGCACGAGCTAATTGCCCAAAAATGGAATAATGAACACCTTGGTGAATCTGACCCAAGGCCAATTTATCTCGCCGTATAGCGGCTGCATCAGCTCCTTCGGGTAAACCGGGATCAACAAAGCTCCAAAGATTTTGAGCTTGCAAATGTGTGGACATCATAATTTGCCAATAATTGTAATCGAGTTTCCCGTCCAATTTGGGACCCGTCCATACAATATTGAAATTTGTAGCCATATTTCACTACGGGAAATATCTCGGGGTTGAAAGGTTGACTGGCTCTGATACCAAATGTTAGATATATTAAATATAATATATTTAATATAATATATATTAAATATAATATAATATATCTATAATATATATTAAATATAATATATCAATATATTATATTTATATATTGAGAGAGAAGAGAGAGGAATGAATAATGTTATTTGAAGGGATGATTAACAAATGAATACAAACCACATATTTATACTAAATGAAAGCTACTAATCAGGAAGCTAATGCTCCATGTACTAATGCTATAATTTAGGCCACTCTTCACATACAATGCATGACCCACACCCATTACTTTCATTATTTCCAACAAATTAACTAATTATTAATTACTTGCTTGGTTTAATAATTATAATAATAATATTATTATAACAATGTGGGTTCCATTGTGTATTCAATTCTGTTACTTTAGGATTAAACTTGCAATTCTTTTATTTTGGTGTATTGAGCGCAAATGTAAGTGGTTAAGAATCTGTGTATTCAATTATGTTAATTTTGGTTCCATTCTGTGTATTCAATTCTATTACTTTAGGATTGAACTTGCAATTCTTTGAGTTTGGTGTAGGGAGGGAAAATGTGTAGTTTTGTTAGATGGCATGATCCTCCAATGTGCGCAAGGTCAAGAAGAATAATTCCTGGGTTATTGACAAGGATCAATCGAAATGAAGAAGAGATTGCAAGACTGAAAATGAGGCTACAAGCTAAGGTTGATGTCAAAAAAAAAAAATAATGGTGGATAGGGCAACGGTATGAGGATATTTGCAGTTATAGCAGTGTGCATTGTGTTATTTGTAGTTTTAGTATTAGTAGTGAATGTGCCTAGAGAAAACAAGGACATTATGTTGGCTACTAGTTATGATGATCTGTAATGAATGATTGTGTAATGACCATATATGTATTCCTATTTGTAATGAATGATTATGTACTGGGTAACTGATTCTGTAATGACCTGGGTGTAATGGCTACAAGTTGCATTCTATCAAAGTGTACCATAAATGAGTGTACTCAGATTTGTACTCAGATTATGACACTTGCATTCTATCAAAGTGTACCATAAATGAGTTTTAGTTTTGTACTCAGATTATGACACTTGCATTCTATCAAAGTGAAATAGCTACAAGTTATGAGTATTTGGACCAAGCAAAATAGTTAATAGCTCCAATTTATAACAAATCACATTGCAATGTAAATGAGTACCATAAATGAGTACCATAACCCCTTCTGACAAATCACATTGACATTGCTAAACTGAGTGCATAATCACAGTACCACAATCCAATCATAATTGGTAAACTAAGTACCATAATCTGAGTACAAAACAGAGTTAAACTTTAAGCATAATCTGACGAACCTTAATCCAAGCATATTTGCTAAACTGAGTGCATAATCACAGTACCATAATCCAATCATAATTGGTAAACTAAGTACCATAATCTGAGTACAAAGTAGAGTTAAACATTCAAGCATAATCTGAGTAACCTTAATCCAAGCATATTTGCTAAACTGAGTGCATAATCACAGTGCCATAATCCAATCATAATTAGTAAACTAAGTACCATTATCTGAGTGCAAAACAGAGTTAAGCATTCAAGCATAATCTGAGTAACCTTAATCCAAGCATATTTGCTAAACTGAGTGCATAATCTCAGTATCATAATCCAAGCATATTTGCTAAGCTGAGTACAAAAAAGAGTTAAACTTCAAGGCTAGTGATCTAATACATCATAAAGTTATCCAAAAAGTAGTCACTAAACTTCAACTACATCATATCCTATCCAAAATGCAGTCACTAAACTTCAATTAATCCAAAGTGATTGGATCTTTGTCATTCCCAAAGAATTTACTCTTGAATGTGGTCTTGGATCTTTTACGATAGTTGATCTTCACTGGTTTTTTCTTCCTATGTGAATGTGGTCCAGCAGCAACATTTTCATTCAATGTTTCTCCAATTGGATTGACTGGTATTTGAACACTGCTACTTAGAGAAGCCCCTACGATACATAAGTTTCATATCAAGCTTAATATCCTTGAATATCCCTACAATACATAAGTGTAAAATGATTATAACATACCTCCTTGAATTTCCTCTACCTGAACTATGATTTGGTGCCATTGCTCATCCAAAATATGATCTGGAATCTCCCAATCATTATCTTCAACATCAGGTTGAGTAATTACATCTGGTTGAGTAATTACTTCAGTTTCAAACACCTAGGCAAGCTGCATACTGGGGAAACTGGATAGTGGCCGTGGCTCATCTCCAATCTAGGCAAGCTGCATGCTGGGGAGACTGGATGGTGGCTGTGGCTCAACTCCAACTTGGGCAGTCTGCATTGATGCTGGGTGTGGCTGAACTCCAACTTGGGCAGAGTGCATTGATTTTCTTCATTTTACCTACAAAATAATTATGTTACTTACCAAAGAAAAGTGTTACTGACTCTAATCAAATTAAGAAAAATGGATAACCTGATTGGCAGGCTGCATGCTAGGGAGACTGGATGGTGGCTGTGGCTCATCTCCAACCTGGGCAGGCTGCATTGTGGCAATACTAGAAGGTAGTTGTGGCTCAACTCCAACTTGGGCAGTCTGCATGGATGCTGGGTGTGGCTGAACTCTAACCTAGGTAGAGTGCATTGATTTTCTTCTTTTTACCTGCAAAATTATTATGTTACTTACCAAAGAAAATTGTTACTGACTCTAATCAGATTAAGAAAAATACATAACCTGATTGGAAGGCCTCCTTGTAGGGTATTTTGGACACTTTATGCTGTTATGGCCCAATTCTTTGCATTTTGTGCAATGTAAAGCAACATGGCTTCTTGACAAATGCATACCATTTTTACTTATCTCACCTGCAGACTTCATCCTCAATTTTCTAGGCCTTCTAGGCTTTGCATTATACACTGGTGGCAATGGAGGTGGTCTACTTGTGGCAGGCCACTCTTCATATCCTGACATCGGCTTTATACATCCCTCATATGTCTTTAAGTATGTGGAAATTGAGTAGCAAAAATTCACATAATCCCAAATAGGTCATTTCCCATATTTTATCCAGATTGCACATACTGCATGTTGGCAAGGGATCCAATTTAGGTCGCATTTCCTACAAGAACATGATTTTCTACCTAAATCCACAGTGTATTGCCCAGAATGTGTCTGTATGATCTCAAATAACGTGAGAACACACTGATAACCTATCAATCCACCAGCTTGCATCTCAATTTCATCTATTTTTTTTTCACAATTGCTGGACAAATTCTTCCACTCCATTCAGCAGCCTTAGTTTTTGACTCAAATAACCTTACCATGATTTTCTTTCTAATGATCTCCAAACAATTAATCACAGGACTTTCCCTAGCTGTCAATATCATTGCATTAAATGATTAAGAAATGTTATTCACCAACATGTCACAATTTGCAAATCCAGTGAAGTGGGATCTAGACCACTCTGATGGGTGCTTATCACCAAGCCAAGCAAATGCATTTTCATCCAAGTTTCTTAACTCTTGTAATGCACCTGTAAAGTTATTAACTGTAGTTGCCCTTGCTGCTTTCCACAATGCATCCTTTATTGAATTTGTTGTGAAACCAGCCACCCTCATGTTACAGTGCAACTGTCTTACACATTATCTATGCCTAACTGCTAGAAGTACAGTGTCAAAGGCTTGTATGAGAACCTTTTGCTTGTCTGACATTACTGTGAAATCAGATTTGTAACACCCCGTGTTACGCCTTTAAATTCGGGTTAATTATTTAATTAATCCTGTTAAAGGAATAGATAAAAAGAATTTAATTTAGGTAGGATTTCCTAAATTATTAATTAATATGGTCCACGGAAGATCGTGGACCCTTACCCTTAATGAAACTCCAAGCCTGTTAGAATATGGAAAGAGGGCCCATTATTAATTAGACTCTGATTAGGGATTCCTAAACCTATAAGAAAGGGGATTAGGGAGCCTTTATAACCCTTCCTTCTCTACCACTCGAATTCCCCTCTCAGAATTCAGATGAAGGATCCATGCCTCCAAGCCTAGGAAAGACTGTTAGGAAAAAGACCTTGAGGAAAGATCCTAGAAGTCATAAGGAGCTTAATTAAAGCTACCAGGTAACCCATGTCCTACAAAACCTATTTTTCTCGCTATCTTTTATTGATTGGCTCCGTTGGATGATTGAATGTGTGATTTGGTATGTTTGCCTTGTTAGAGCTTGTCTTTAGGATTTATGGTATGGATTCTTGTTATTCTTGATGAACTTGTGTGGTTAATTGCATTTTCTTGGGTTTATGAGTATTTTGAGCTTGCGTTAGGGTTTATATGGTGAATCTTGTTATTCGTAACGTTCTTGGCGTTCTTGGGTGGGTTTATGCATGTTCGGGCGTTATTCTAAGTTTAGGGCATGTCTTTAGGGCTTTGTATATTGGTTTCTTAATGTTCTTGAGGTTCTTGATGCTCTTAAACCATTACGTGTTTATCTTTGAGTCTTGGCATGTTTAGAGTTTGCGTTTAGGCTTCAATTGTGTTGGTTCTTGGCTTGTTCTATGTGTTCAAGTCCCTATTGTTGTTGGTATGTGTTTGGGCGTGTTTGGGACTTTATTTTTGGGAGAATTGGATGAATTCTCTGGTTGGGAAAATTGGCCAAGGAACACGTTCCAGCGGGTAGTCGGTGGGGGGACGAACCCCCACTCGACCACCTGCCGGATAGGGATGGATGTTCCAGCGGGTGGACGGCCACCAGCCAGTCCACCCGCTGGAACGACGTGGTTCCGCCGGTGGGAGGTTATCCTCCCGCCGTACCTCGCGGGTACGGGCCGGTGCGGGGTCGTTTGGTCTTCGTGGGTCGAATCCCGTGCCCCGTGGTGTCTTCGTTGATGTTTTTGGGTCTTGTGTGATGTCTTGTGTGTCGTAATGTGAATTGTGAGTCGTGTCTTTGCATGTGGTCCATACTCGTATCGTGTGGTGCCAGAGTATGGTCTGTAGTGGTCATTATGGGTCTTGTGGTCGCCTTGAGGGCGCTTGTTGTTGAGAGTCGATGTGCATAATGTGCCCTTCCTCGAGTATCCCCTTGTGGAGTCATTGAGGATGTAGGCGGGGGGCATGCGTTGTCCCGGAGAGATAAGGATGTGGTGTGTAGGGTGGCCTGGAGATACAAGTTCGAATTGTTATAAGGTTGGAACATGGACATGTCTTGTTATGTGCTCTTGTTTGTTATTGTTGAGTCTTATTGTTTTCTTGCCTTGTGGTCTAGTTGTATGCTGTGTCTTTATGTGCCTTGCCATGTCTAGTCTATTGATATGCCATGAGTCTGATTCCTGATTTTGAAGTTAGAGTCGTTTAGGACTATATTATGTATTCCCAAGTCTCAAAATGATTTCTTATATCTATATGTATTGTATTCAACGCGTGGGTGTGGGTTGCTTAGCATTATTCGCTAACGGTTGTGATACCGCATGTTTTTCAGGTACTGATTAGTTGACCGAGAGCGCAATAGAAGGAGCTGCGGTTCCTGACTTAGTTAGTATTAGTTAATCGGCCTGTGAGCCATGCTTGTATTCGGATAATGATTATGAATTATGCTTTGTTTAGTTAGTCTTAGCCTGTGCATCTAGGTTCTCTAGCTTAGATGTGGCATAGCACCCCCAACACTGATGTTTAGCTTCCGCTCTGTTTGGGTATTGATGATAGCTTTGCCTTTATTTCATAAGCTTTAATGATTTTAAATTATGTCGAAATTTGGGGGTGTTACAAGATTCTACCATGGGATTAATCTGCAAATCCTTCTTTAAAAATTTTAGAAACCAAGTCCAGGAGTCCTTGTTCTCACTTTCTACAATGGCACAAGCAATTGGGAATATACTATCATTTCCATCTATTCCAACTGCTGTCAACAATTGCCTTCCAGTTTTACACTTTAAGTGACACCCATCTACACCAATTATCCTCCTATAGTGC